CGCCCAACCAAGTGAAAATGAAAGAAAATGGGCCAAATCTCGTTTTTATAAAAACTTCACTGCCCAGACGACTTTTCGCATCTGCGGTCATTTGATCACTTTTGCGGAAGCTTCCTCGCAGATGCGACTTCCCCAAAGGCCGGCATTTTCCGCTTTTGTGGCCATCCAATTGCAGGTGCGCGACTGCTTCTGCGGAAAAACTTCCGCACCTGCGAGCTCCCTAGCTCGAGCACCGTTCCACACCTGTGTGCCCGTGACCGCACATACGGCCCCGCAGGTGCGCTACATCACCCGTATCTGCAATCGACCAGTCCCAGACCACCTCTGCTTCTGCGACACCAGGGCCGCTTCTGTGGGATCGCACCTGCGGCCCTTTTTACGCAGGTGCGATTGCACCAGACACCAACTGCTTCAGCATCTTCTCCCAAGTCCAAACTCGATCCCTTTTCAATATGATTCGCACCCGGGGCCCTCGGGACCCCGTCCAAATATACCAACACATCCCAAAGTACGATACGAACTTAGTCGAAGCCTTAAACCACGTCAAACAACATCAAAATTATGAATCGCGCCTCGAATCAAACTTATAAGTTTTCAAATTTCCAAATTCTATATCTTGTGTCGAAACGTATCAAATCAAGTTTGATTGACCTCAAATTTTGCACACAAGTCATAATTGACATTACGGACCTACTCCCACTTCCGGAATCAGAATCTAACCCTGATATATAAAAGTTGACTCCCGGTCAAACTTCCCGAAAAGCATCTAATTTTCAACTTTCGCCAATTGATGTCGGGATGATCTACGGACCTCCAAATCAACATGCAGACACACTCCTAAGACCAAATTCACCATACTGAACTATTTCTAGGCTCGGAATCCCAATCGTACATCGATAATCTCAAAATCTACTCCAACCCAAACTTAGGAAAGTTTTAAACTTTCACAATGCCAACCTTCCGTAATAAGCACCAGAATACTCCCGTGCCATACGATACTCGACCCGAACATATGCCCAAGTCCGAAATCATCATACGAACCTATTGGAACCTTCAAATCCTAATTCCGAGGTCGTTTACTCAAAAGTCCGATCTTAATCAATTCTTCCAACTTAGAACTTCCGAAATTAGAATTTTTCTTTCCAAATCCATTCCGAACTTTCCGAAATTCAATTCCGAGCACACGTACAAGTCATAATACCTGAAGTGAAACTACTCAAGGCCTCAAACCGCCGAACGACGCGCTAGAGCTCAAAACGACCGGTAGGGTCGTTACAGTTGCGTACATCTTACCCTCCTCAGACCCCACTTATGAAAAGCTACTGGGTTTTTTGTTGTTGTTGTTGTTGTTGTTGTTGTTTCACTTTAGCATTATATTATAATCAAAATAATATCATATTTAATGCTAAATTTGATTATGAATTCGTTCAAAATATAAACTGGAGTTTTCTTTATTTAATAAAAATCTATCCCATTTTTTTATAATAATTGGTATTTTTATTATATGTCATAACAATTAATTTTTTCTTCTATTTTAACTTTAATATTTCAATTAGTTTTCTTTTTTAATTTTGATCCCCTGCACACAAAAAAAGTTGGCTTTATAGAGAGTAAAGAATGTGGAGGGTAATAAATCTGTTGCAATAAAAATAGTGTACAAAGTTAACGAATGTGGAGGTATTTTTTATAAATAACCAAATCTTTAAAAAATTATGCAATGTTTTAATACACCAAATCAAATAGTGGATAAGAAATAATCTTAGCATAACTAATGTCAGTATGACTAATCTCAGCATTACTAATACCAACACTACTAGTACACCTTATTCAGCACTACTCGTGTACCTTATACCAAATGACCCTAAGATACATATAGCTATAGCAGTGTACAACCTAATAAGGTTGACCTCTTACTATTAAATTTTAGGAAAAATGATCAAAATACCCCTCTACTATATGAAAAGAATCATTTATACCCTCCGTTATATTTTCGATCAATTATAGCCCCTGACGTTATAAAAATGATGTAAAAATATTCTTCCTCCGTCAGGGCCTTCCACCATGGCAGTATCATCCTACATTGCCTGGCATTTGGTGAGGTGGATGCCACATGACATACCACCTCACTACCCAACCCCATTTTCCCCCTCCTCTCATTCTTTTTGCACCATCTCCCACCGTTCCCCCGCCTAACCCAACCCAACCCCGCCACCTTCACCCAATTGTTTTTGAGTTTTTAATTGTATCAAATTATAAATAACTGAAGCTGCAACTCACAATTAAGAACTCTAACAATCCAAGATAAAATTCATTATTCACAATTACCTTAGCAATTATTGGACAAAACAGAAAAATTGGTAACATTCTTAACATAAGTATAAACACTTCTTTAGTCTTTACTATCGCTCACAAAGGAGATGCTAGCAAGAGTTTCAAATTATCATTTATAGAGTTCAAATAGCACAAACACCAACTTGCATTTTCATGGGTTAGTAGTGTCACCAAATTGAATAAGCTTAAACGGATTATAATGGGATTTTCTTTTATAAATTATCTTTAATTACAACAACAACAACATACCCAGTAGTTTCTCACAAGTGGGGTTTGGGAAGGGTAAGATGTACGCAACCTTACCCCTAACACTGGAACGACAGAGAGGCTGTTTCCGATAGACCCTCGGCTAAAGAACGACTGAAAAAGAAAAGGTAATTGCAACAAGTGGGAATAATAGTAAGATAAAATAAGATCGAATTCAAGAATGCAGTCAAACTCTAGGTAATAATAGCCTATATGAATAAAAGATAACTTGCTAACACTAATGCTAGCGAACTGAGTAAGACAAAGAGAAATGCTGGACTACCTACTAACCTTCTACCCTAATCTTTGACCTCCACACCCTCATGTCTAGGGTCATGTCCTCAGTCAGCTCCAGTTGCGCCATGTCCCGCCTAATAACCTCTCTCCAAGACTTTTTAGGCCTACCTCTACTCCTCATGCTGCCCGCCGAGGTTAACCCTCACACCTTCTAACTGGGATTTCTATACTTCTCCTCTTAATATGCCCGAACCATCTCAACCTCGCCTCCCGCATCTTATCCTCCATAGGGGCCACTCCCACCTTTTCCCGAATAACTTCATTCCTAATCTTATCGAACCAGGTATCCCCACACATCCACCTCAACATCCTCATCTCAACTACTTTTAGCTTCTGGGTATGAGAGTTCTTGACCAGCCAACACTTTGCTCCATACAACATAGTCGGTCTAACTACAACCTTGTAGAATTTACCTTTAAGCCTCAGCGGCACATTCTTATCACACAAGACACGGGAAGCGAACCTCCACTTCATCCATCCTACTCTGAAACGATGCATGACATCTTCATCAATCTCCCTGTTACCTTGTATTATAGATCCAAGATACTTGAAACTACCTCTCTTGGAGATGACTTGCGTATTAAGCCTCACCTCCATATCCCCTTCATGGGTACCGTTGCTGAACTTGCACTCCATGTACTCCATCTTGGTCCTGCTCAACTTGAAACCCTTAGACTCTAGGGTCTGCCTCCAAACCTCCAGCCTCTCGTTAACATCATCTCGCGTCTCGTCAATTAAAACTATGTCATCAGCAAATAACATACACCATGGCACCTCACCCTGAATGTGTCTCGTCAATGCGTCCAGCGCCAAGGAAAATAGTTAATCTCTGGTGCAACCTCATCATAATCGGAAAGTGTCCCGAGTCTCCTCCTGCTGCCCTAACCCGAGTCTTAGCTTCATCATAGATGTCCTTAATCACTCTAATGTAGGCTACTGGGACCCCTTTAGCCTCCAAGCATCGCCAGAGCACCTCTCTCGCGACTTTGTCATGTACTTTTTCTTGGTTAATGAACACCATGTGCAAGTCCTTCTTCATCTCCCTATACCGCTCCACCAATCTCCTCACAATGTGAATGGCTTCCATAGTCGAACGCCTCGGCATGAAACCGAACTGGTTCTCAGAAATGTACGCACTGGTCCTCACCCTCTCCCAAACTTTCATAATATGGCTTAGCAGCCTAATCCCACTATATTATTACAACTTTGGATATCACCCTTATTTTTATACAAAGGAATCATAGTACTCCACCTCCAATCATCGAGCATTTTCTTCGTCCTAAAAATGACGTTGAACAGCCTAGTGAGCCACTCCAAACCTGCCCTAGCCGCATTCTTCCAAAATTTCACAAGTATTTCATCTGACCCGGTAGCTCTACCCATGTGCATCTTACGCATAGCCCACTCGACCTCCTCTACTCTTATACGCCTACAATACTCGAAATCCCGGCGCATCTAGGACTGCTCCAAGTGGCCCAACACAATGTCCCTATCACCCTCTTCGTTCAGGATTTTATGGAAATATGAATCCTTTAGCACCACTGCTTTGGAACTGGGTTTGCTTGAAAAATATTTAGAACAGACGTATGAAAGCTTAATCCCTCCCAAAGTGCACATTCATTAAATAATTCTAGCACTTTTAGGATAAAAATTGTAATTAAGATGATTTTGGTGCTACCTGTTAAAGAAGAGTTGGGCTACTGTGATGAAAGGTAAGAAAAATGATTTTGATAACAGTGGTAAAATTGTACTGAAGGTGATTGTTAACGGAGGTGGTGAGTGGAAAGCATAGGAAAAAAAAATGAAAGAATCATGTCAAGAATGGTGATCAGATGATGGTGGAAAAATATTTGTGTGGTGAAGGAGGAGGTGGCGGTGGTAGTGGTTGGGTGGGAGGAGGGCTAAAATGAATCGGAGGTGGCAATTCACGTGGCGGCATGGTAGGATTATGTTGTCGCGGTAGAAAGTTGCAACGGAAGAGGAGTATTTTTAAATCAGTTTTATAATGTTGGGGGAGGGTATAAATGATAAAGGGGTATTTTTAACCCTTTCCGTAGTAAATTTGAAGTGTGAAACTAATACCGTTTTCCTTGTTAGAACAAAAGAGCAACGTGGTACGCTGTGCTGGACTTGCTTATTCTCTACGCCCATAAAATAAAATCCCCGATTCTCCAATCCCGTAACGCTTTCTCCGAGAGCAAAAATGGCGAGCGGCGGCTGTGGAGGAAAAGTTTCCTTCAAAGTCACTCTTACTTCCGATCCCAAATTGCCCTTCAAAGTGTCTGTATTATTTTGATTTCTGATTTCTGAATTTCTCTTTTCTCTTTGTTCTTTCTTTCACCTTTTTGTTTTTCAGTTTTAGCGTTCCAGAAGCTGCTCCATTCACAGCTGTCCTCAAATTTGCTGCCGAGGAATTCAAAGTTCCTCCACAAACTAGCGCCATTATCACTAATGGTAAACTTCTCTAATGATTCAACATTAGATAGTTTTACTAATACTATTGTAATTCACGGCAACAGCAACTACTACGCGTTGGAGTCTACTGTATGAATCCTCAATATCATAAATGCTTGTTTGTCTCTACAATATTTCTATATTATTTAATTAAGGATTATCTAACACTAGGGGTCTGGTACTGTAATTCACCTTAGTAAAAAAAAAGGCTCTTATTTGAAAATTTGATTTTTGAGATTGAGAAGATAAATATGTGTTCCTTATATGCGGCGAAGGGAAAATCAATTTTTAGCACCCAAAGTGTAGCCTAGTGCCAATGAAGTGGCTAGAGTACTATTAGGTGTCAGGTTCAAATTTCAGTGGAAAGAAATACATTAGATTATTTCTTCCCATCCATCAAAGTTTTGTGTACAAAGTTATCCGGTATTTGGTGGAGGTAGCTGGCAAGACACCACCATTATAAAAAAAGTATCTCTTGTATTATTTATTTTTTCCTTTTTTTTTGTTTTTCTATGATATTTTGTTCATTAGTCTCATGAGAACTTGGGAGCAAAAACAATTTGGAATTTGTTTTTCACTTATTGCTAGTATTATAAGAAAAGGCAGGAGTTTTTACTAAATGTAAGCTATGTTTTGACTCTATTTTTCTTTCCTTTTTATCTTATTTTGCAGATGGGGTGGGGATTAACCCACAGCAAAGTGCTGGTAAGTTTACACTTTGCATTGAATATTTTACGGTTACCTCCTGTATGTTACTTGGCTTGCAACACTTATTTGTTTTATGGATAATAAACAATCTGGGAATTGGGAGTTGTGAATAACTTACTTTCTACGTATGAGAGAAATCTAGTGCACTTAAAAAGGTCATACAATCTTAGAGGACTTGTGGATTGCTTAAAGAAAATATCTTTGAGGCTTTGAGCTTTTTGATAAAAGCCAGAGGTGTCTCACGGGAAGAGATGGTGTAATGCCTCCACTGGAAATTTCTCGACGGAGGTATAAAATCATTATTGCAACTTCAGTAGATTTTTAACCCAATTTATATAAGAAGTTTATGACAGTAAATGAGTTGTTACAAACATAGGATCTTTGTGGGTGTGGATAAGTAGAGTTGTTACGAAGTTTCCTACCAGTGTTGATGAAGAGTAACAAAGAATTGAAAGTAGTCAAGAATCAATAGTCAATTCCAATAAGTTAAGTTTATAATGAGAAGTGCTAGAATAAGCTTTTAGTCAAAGACATGCAATTCTAATTCCAATAGTTTGCTTTCCTTTTCTTTTAAATATTATATAATTTGAGAAGTGCTAGAATAAACTTTGACACATTGTTTTCTTCTACAGGATAAGTTTCAACCATAGTATCTTCTTTTACGACAAATTATATACTAGTATTTAATTGAAATTGACATTTTAAACTTCTTGTCCCATCTGTTAAAAAAAATCATTTTAAACTTTTTATCCAATCAAATACCGTCATATAAAATGGGACACAAAAAGTATCTCGAAACTGAGCAAGCTTGCTTGTTGCTCTCCATGTTGCATATTTACCTTGCCAGCTCCCAACATCTTCTCCTCGATCTTTTATTCGAGTGTGATCTGCCTGAGTTATTTTCTTTTTCTTGAATATCCTAGCTCAAGGTTCTCGTACTTGGCATTTAAAATGAATCCACTCATTTTCCTCAATACTGCACTTATCCATCTTCTGGGCATCCATACGATCAGTATGTATTAGGAGGCTACTAATGTATCAACCATGACAGTGATGTGCAGGACCATCCTTCGCAGTTGGTTTATACTTCTGCGTAAACTATGGTCCTTGACCTCATTCAGTGTAATTGAAACCCTCTCTTAGATTATGATTTGTTGGTACGAGTACTTTGCAAACTCTTTACCTGTTCTATGGGAATTATCTAAGTGAGCTTCTTGCCTTTTAACTTGAATTTATACCTAATTCTATGTCTGTTGTGAGACTGACCTAAAGATATAGAAGAAAAAAGGAAAGGGTTCTGATCTGCAAGGATATGCATATTAGACCTTTAACTTCAGCACTTCGTGCTAGAAAATACGTTTTCCTTTTTCTTTTTGTAATATATACCAAGAGGCTCCGTCCTTCATTTGCAAGAGACCTTACTTTTTGAATTGATTTTGGCTTGGTGATTGATGAAACCTGGATCCATTTGGAAAGTTTGACTTTTTGACTTCCGTAGTTCATAAGTTGGTGGAAGAGACTTTTCAGTGCATATATTGGTGGAAAAGACTTTTGTTTCTCCCTTTATGTTGCTAAGCTTCATAGTCTGAGTGCCTCAAGTCTTGCAATCCTTTCCAGAACTTTTACTGTCCGGTAAAGTTCTTTAATCCTACAATTTTTCCCCACCAAGTCAATCCTATAACTTTGATATAAGCAATTTGACGTCAAGCCTCTTCCTCTAAAACACTTTCAGAAGCAAAATCAGATCTTTCTATTTCTAGTCCTTCCTGCCACCTACTATCCCTATGTCGTGCCACTACACCTCCAAAATGTTATTTTGCATTTAGGAAATATAGGTCAGGATATGCAGTCTTGCCAACTAAGAAGAAACATTACTCTTAGAATGCCTTGTCATGCTTGACTCTTCTTTCAAAGGTGGTGAAGTAAGGAGAAAATGTTGTATAAATTCTGATCTGTGTAGGATTCAGATATTGTGTATAGGAATTTTGTGGACATTACAAGTGCAGGAGAAATCTGAGTTCATGCTGTCATTTAGAATAATTCTATGCCCGAGTTTTTCAAAATAGATTCTTCTAAAGTCTGGTCATGTTCTGTGTTTGCATTTATATTAATAGGGGGCAGTTTTAGTTTTTTTTTTTTTTTTCTTTTGGATATTTCGATGAAGTTGTTCGTTTGTGTCCCTAAAGTCAAGACTGGAGATCTTAGGAGTAACTGATAAGTGGTCACAAGTCTATTTGGCAATTGCTGAGAAAAACTCAACTTCCGACGTGTTATCCTGCCTAGTTACCAAGTAATTTGCTTCTTGAAGGCCTATTGCTTACTTGTGTTTCAGGCCAACGTTCTTATTTGCTTACTTGGCTGTCTCCATGTTTACATGCTTTTAACAGTGCAGTGCATATTATCTTTAATGACTATTGCATGCACTCGTAAAGTGGAACTTCTTGAGTTATGTCTCCTTAGCTGTCCTAACCCGGATGGTTTGTTTTTAATCCTGACGGGATAGTAATCTTATGCGCAGATGCTGTTCACCTTTCTGCACCCAATCTGATTATATCTGGTGTTATAATTTTTCTTTTCAACTCAAAATACTTTTCAGGTAATGTCTTTCTTAAACATGGCTCTGAACTGCGGCTGATTCCTCGCGATAGGGTCGGTGCTCCCGGGTTGTCATTTTGAGCATATGCCCAAGTATTTCATCTGCTTCTTATCCCCTATTGAGTAGCACTTCATGGTGAAATGTGCTGCAACTTTCGATGTTGTAATATCAAGTATAGTTGAATGTGAAACAGAATAAATAATGCTTTTCGTCCGGGGACTAATAAATATGTTGTGGATTAAACTTTTGTTGAGATTTCTAAGTGTTAATCTGCAATGGGGTACGTGATTAATATTTTTACTGATTATTTGATGTATGTAGGTGATAGTCATTCTATGATTTCAATAGCTTTTTGATGCTTGTAATCTCACTTTTTAGCTTGGAGCTCTGTTGGTAAAATTTTTGAATCTCCTTCTAATATTTGGCATCGAGCGGAGAATAATGGCAATTCGTGATAAATATACTCGGAGCTTTCTCTCCGTTGTATTCTATTGGATTCAAAGGGAAACGTGGCATATAATAGTTGAAAATGATGACACAAGAAGTAAAGAGAAATTCAGCGAAGGTATGACAGCTAACTTGTTCCTTGGACAGTCACAAGATATTCTTCCTCAAAGAAGCCATTCAAGGAAAGTAGTAGGGTGAAGATTTCCCATTCTTTCCAGTTTGTTTTGTTTTGGTGATATATGGTCTAGTTGTTATATGAACGTTTGATATGATAACAGATTCAAAATATCCATCAACAATTCCAAGAAAAAATCAGCATATCGATCAAGGCGTAAAATAAAAAACTGAAAGGCAAAACAAGGAAGAAAAGGGTTTGGCAAACTCATGTATAATTAGAGATCAAGAAATGCCACTAAAATTCTTGATGGCCACTAGCATTGTCCTGTGGAATAGAGCCATTCCAAAGTGAAGGCTATATACATTAAATAGGAACCTTGTTTAATCTCTTTTACCCCCACAAATGGTGCTGAACTCACCCTCTCATAGCTCTCTCATGGATGGCATAATATTCCATTTTGAGTATCTTGATATGTTGTGGACAATGCTGATAATGTAATATGGAAATCGCTATCTAAAGGTATTGAGCTCGTACTCTCTCCCAGTTCTGCTCCAACCACTGCTTCGCGTCCTCCTCCCCAAATTTTTCACTCCTGAGTATATGAAGAAAAAGTTAAAAAATTATCAATTGAACTTGCAAAGACTTATATGTAGGTTCAATACAAATTTGAGCAAGTATCCTTTGAGAAATCCTAAAAGATGGTCTATTACACGCAAACTTATCCAGACTCTTTGAAAAAGGAGTAGCAGAAATGACTTCTGTCGTATCAAACATACTACAGATGGAAAAAATACCAAAGTAAAGTGAAGATCATTATTCACTTAAAAGGAAAAAAAAAGGAAAGTGAAATGAAAACCAACCTAGCAAAGTTGATGCATTGTAAAACATATTATGAGGAAAGCATGAAACAGATTACAAAAACAAACATAGGTATATAGAAGTGATTCAGGAAAAAATAATTCTAGCGTTTTTGATGTCCCTTTTTATTAGGTAGCAGAAAGGACTAATCACAGAAATATTTATAGTTGGCACCAGATTTCCTATGCTTCATCTTATGTTCAGTGGAACGAATGTGGCACAGCAGAATTTGAAATACCTGAATCTGACACGACTTAGCTCTCTAGTGCCATCCGCTAATTGTCTGATGGTTATATAAACTCCAGGTTCATCTTGTTCTATCCATTCTGACTCCATGTCACTAGCATTACTTACAGAAATTGAAGCCTCGTCTCTAGAGGAAGTTGTCGTCCTTGACGCCTCCATAGATGACATCTCACTACCCTTGGGGAAACCAGAGGCATAAGCATTTGAACCACCGTTATATTGCTGGCTTTCCCTTGCAGAACCAAGCCTTGAATAATTTGAATCTCTCTGCAAAAAGATCTTAAATTTCATTAACTTGTGCTTGCTTCATGTTGCATGCGTCGATAAATATTCCAAATCTGAGTGGTTAATTAACAAAGTAATGGAGGTATTTGGTTCGCTACTTCAGCTAGTGATCATATTCTTATACAAGTTGAACAACTTAAGTTATATTAGCCTTAAGTGGTTTTATGCTATGTTGCTCTGATCTTCCAAAACATGCTGCTGCACCGCTGTCGGATTTTCCAAAAACAATGCATCTTTGGAGGATGCGACACGGGTACGACAGCATTTTTGGAGGATACGAGCAACATAAGTTTTATACTAGGAAAGTAGAAGCATTGATGAACTGTGGCTGTTCATGAATATAATTTGAATTAAACTAATCTGCATGGACTTATAATCGATGATCTGGATTAACATTTGAGGTCAATGCTGCAGTAAAGTAAATACATTGCAAGAAGGTGAAGCTGGCATACCCCATCCTCAGACTGTGAGGTAGTGCTAAGAGCTTGCTTATTGAATCTCTGAACATTGTAAAGCTCCATAATCCTGTCAAAATTCTCACCCCACCATCTTTGAGCTTGCCATTTGTTGAACATGTCACGACTTCAAATTAAAACAACGAGTCAAGTTAACGTCTAAACAATAAAATAATCATTTCAACAAAGAATAACAACTATGCTTCAATAAAAAGCTAGTTGGGATTAGTTATATTAATCTTCATTACCCACTTATTAGCATTATGCAAATAAGAATGTTTACATATCATGTTTCCCATACTCTTAGGGAGCGAGAGATAACGAATAGATACCTAAAGCGGATTCTTTTAAGATCATTTCCACCATGAGGGAGAGAAACGAAAGTAATCTGAATGCCAGGCTCCACATGTGCTGTCCACTCCTTAGCATCCTCTTCTTCTAGCACCACATCATCACTTAATTCTCCAGCTAATCTTGAATCAGGTCTAGCTGGTGTTTGGAGATGACCGGTACTCGCAAAATCCCAAGCTGGAGTTGAATTAGAACTTCCTGTTTGGTAATGGTAACAAACTCCCTCTGAGATTGCATCAAAATCTGGATATGGATATGGATACGGATATGGTCTATGCCCTTTCCTGTAACTGCTAGTGGGCGTACTTGACTTGCATCTATAAGCACCCGACACCTTCAATGCTATATCCTTTATCTGCAAATGTTCATAACAAGATATAGAGTAGTAGTTCTCAAGCTGTACAGAATGAGTAAAATGGGTTCTTAATAAGATGATGCACAAGAAATATCAAAGCTTAAGCTTAGATACAATATCAGTGGAGACAAATAATGTAGGCGATTTCTTCAATATGCTTAAGCTTTAGTGGGAAGATTCACCAAGTGCTTATATTGGTGGGAGATAACAAGTATGTGATGCATGGGATAGTCTGTGTGTAAACTGGTCCAAACACCATTATTATCCCCCTATAAAAGAATCATAGCTTAAGGTTTTTGTAACAGTACCAAATCCCAAGGCCAAAATTTGGTCAAACCCATGCCGAAATAGATGTAACATTCTTTTATAGCAGATACTTAAATCAAACAGTTGAATTTTGTATAAAAAAGTATCAATTTAAACCAAGATTATACCTATGTCACAAAATAATTAGTAGGTTCAGAAAAATGTCATTATGGCCCCTAAATCGATGACCCCTATTTTGCAGTCAAATTTTAGTTTAATAATTCAGTAATAAAATTAAAATGTACAGCTGATTTCAGCATCCTAACAATTACTGCTGAACGGTCAGCAGCAATACAGAAACAGGAGCACTTGTCTTGTCCAAAACAAGAGTGATATAACTGTTTGATTGTCCTTAAGATATGTAGTACAACTTTCTTGCTTCCACAGATTATATCCACAACTTAGTATTTTCATTCCATTTATCTAAAAGTCTCGGTCAACCAAACGGAGTAAAAAATAAAAACCAGAAGCAGGAATAGAGTAGGTGAGGGTGTAGGAGTAGAACCTGAGCCGTCAGACTTTTGACAGAATCTTTAGTATTGGGAACTTCTTCTCCACCATCATCTTCCACCTTTTGCTTACATGTGATACATGTCAACATTTTCTCTTTTCTTTTGTTCCTCTCTTCTACGCTCTATATATATTCAGTATTCTCCTCTCTTCTTCTAACTGCAAATGAAAAATAAACGAATCATGAAATATAAATAACCATTCATTATATAACACTGATTTGTGATATTCATTTTGCTGACAAGATCAGTTTAGATCATTCTTTTGAATTATAAAAAGCACAAGTTTCCTCTAATAATAAGATATTGGGAGGATATGCATTTATTTTCACTCACAATCTTTTAAGTTAAAACATTCATAGCAATTGATATTATTTCCTAATAAAGAAAAGCTGGATAAAGAAAATTCAAATTGATCCGTTGAAGTTTTAGGTTAAAATGTGAACGAAAAAGGTAATTCTACAAGTTGGTAATTAACCTGCTATCTCACTTCATTGACATTTGGGTGGAAAACATTTGTGAAAATTTGGACCACTACTTGTTCAAAAATGGCAATAGGAAACTAAAGAGAAAGGACAATAAATTGGACGACATATATTAAAAGGTAAGTTTACTGAAATCATCTTCCAAATCAAAGGATGATTTATAATCACGAAAAAAAATTAATTTTTCTTTTTTAAAAACTCCATGCCTGCCACACAACTTGGGAAGGAGGGAGTAGACAGTACAGAGTAGAACGGAAGTTTCTGACACATATTCATGATCGTCATTCTTCAGTACGATAAGCTCCTTTTATTCTCCTTTCCTTACTCAATACGTACACTAATACATACATATACATATATGAAGTATATCAATCAATATGGAGAGAGAAACTAAAGCAAGTAGAGATCGACAAGAGAGAGAGAAAAGGAATATATATGGCAGCAGCTGCAGAGTAGAAGTTGGAATGGGAAAGATGGGAATTCTGGTCTGGAGAATGAATGACCAATCGCTTTAGAGATGAACCAGCAGTTGTCGACCTCTGAAAGCGGCCATTGAATGGACAAACTGACAAAAGTAGTACTTAACAATTGTGGCTCGTGTTCGAGTTCTGAGTATAAAAAAAATCATTGTTAGGGAGCGCTCTCCCCTAATGGGGTCCTACGCGACACGAATTCAAATATAGTCAGGCTCCAATACGGATACCGGACACTATGTGGTAAACTAAAAAAAAAATAGCGACTAACCTAACTATAAAAAATACAAAATAATTAACCCAAATAGTTGTACACCTAATTTCTTAAGCTAAAAATAACCGTGAGATATATAATACTATATGCAAAATTCATATATAATATGTATATAACGGTATATAATTAATATAGTATAATCTATGTATATCGATTAAAAAAAAATAGTGAATCTGACCGACTATTTGGATAACAATCCCAAAAATATACTACTCCTTACTACTATTCCACTAAGTACAAAGATAACAAAACCATCAAACCCAAAACAAACACATAAGATAATTAGTTGTACAATAGTTGAAGTTGAAGTGACAACATTAAAACTTAATATTCAAAACTTAGCATATGGAAATTAGTTGAACTCTTTCTATCGGTTTTTCTACGGCTAACATACCTGAGTCTTAGTTGAGAATATCACATTGATCTCCATTTTCAACTAAGAAAAAATTCTTGTTTGCGCCTTTTGGTAAAACAACGAGACCATTAAGCCGGAGTAAACAATCTCTCACTAGTGCACAAAGAATATGATAAATTAGTACGCACTAGTCGAAAAATTTTCCTATTCATTTTTTAATATTATGTAACTTAGGAAGACTTTTAGAAAAAATATTTAAAAAATCGAATACATTAATTTTAAAAAAAAAAAAGCAAAAAAGAAGAAATTTTAGAAACAGAAAAATTGCATACCTCAAACGACTACTAGAGTAGATAATCAGCTGAAACCCACTGGTGAAATGGTTTCCAGAGCAATAATCTGATTTGCTCTTTTCTTGTTACATATTTGGATCAAATAATTAAGAAAAAATAGGCGGGAAAATCATTAAGCAAATCCCCAGAGATATCAAGTCAAATAAAAAAGAAGAGTGAAGAATCCCTGGCATTAAGCTTCCGTTACATATTCAAAGAATCTTCAGTAGAAATACGGCAAATCTTACGCCGACGATCAATGAGGAGATTCTGAAGCACTTGAAAACAGGAAGTTTCAGATTCACAGATTCCGTTTTTACGTTAATATATAGCAAAAGGAAGCAGAAAAATCTAAGAAATATATGTAATGTTTTGAAGGAATATAAATATAGAATGGAGACGGAGGAAGGTTGAGGAATTTATAGAAGGACGTGACGCCGTCAACATTTCACTTCATGTTGTGTCGTTATCCAACGGAAAACGTGTAAATAAACAGTGAACAAAAGGTGGAGCTGTTGCATTCGTGAGTTGTACTTTGTTTATCAAGGGTTGGACTTTTATGTGGGGATTAAGTGTTGGACCAAATGGGTTATTTGCGGTCTTCCTCAAGGAAGACATGATGGTCCCATCTGTCTAGAATTGGTTTTAAATAGTGTACTAATTTGGGTAGTTGTATGTGACAAGATTTTTAATTGGATTAGAACCATTAGGGAGTGGATCAACCTTTTATTTTTTAATTAGGATTTGGATACTAAATTTGAGCTTAAATTTTTTGAAATGATTGTGCATAAAGTTTTTACGTTTAAGGTTTAAATTCAACCTACACCAATATATAACTTTCATAGTAAGTCTGATGTGGGCATCCGAAATGTAAAATCAATTTGTATTCAAGTCATACTATCCGAAATTCCAGTTAAATAATCAAAATGCGTGCAAGCTTACTTGAATACTATCTTCATTTTAAAATAAAAAAAACCCTACTATGTATAAAGTTATCTCGTAGAATATATAACTTAAATCTATCTTTTGGTGGGAAAGTACGAAAATGGTTAGGTTATTTTAGGCAATGATTCTGGGAGATCAGATAACAATCCAATCATTATGCTTCTTGTTTGTTTTCTTTTCGTTAGTGTTTGTCATAAAACAAATAATCGAGGTGGTTGTACCAATCAAAATGTATCAAAATGATGTTTCCTTTCTGTATTTTTTAGACTTTTCGTTTTAATTTTATTAAGAGCTTGAATGACATAGAGCATGTCTGCTGCAACTTATTTTATTGTTTTACATGCTAATGGACATGCGATTGTTTTATTCTTTTGTGAAATGTGACAAATAAGTAATGGTAAAAACTTTCTCGTGCCTATACTAAGAACATGTTTGGAAAGCGCATAGGAATTGTATTTGTGTGTAATTGGATGTGATAATTACTATATTTTGTAATTACTATACTTTGTAATTATCAACGTGTGTAATTACTACTCTAACAATCACACCGTCAGTCACCGGCGACTCAAGAAAATTGTGGTCTATAACCAAATTATAATGAGAGGCCTTAAACTTTTTTATTTTATTTTAAAAAGGTTATCATTATAGCTTTTGTAGATGCAAAGTCATTGATAATTCCTTTTCCACTAATAATACAACTAATCTATTTAATCTCTCTTGAATCATTTTTTATTTTATGTAAGTTTTTATCAATTTTAATTTTCTTCTTTTCACTGAGGAAGGTAAACCATTACATGAATTGTTAAAATTATTCCATAAGCAACATAGGCCTTTAGAAAAGAATCAACGTTAAAAGCAATATTTTTCACATAATCTACGGATCACAATATGCACATTCAAAGTTGCAAATTATTTTTCTCCATATTTTTAGTGGGAAAAAAAATCACACCTCTTAACGGTCTATTGGCAACATCAATATAAATATATTTTGATGGTAAACTTTTGCTAACTGAACTAGCCACAATCAGTATATTATATCAAATAATCATACCCGATAAAAACTCAAAATTTTCAAGCTCATATGTTGAACAAATAGCTTCATTTTTAATTTTTGGATCCTAACAAGCTTCTGCTAATTTCAATAAAATATCTCATATTTGTGGAACTTGAAATCTTATGCTTTAATACTTTTGATACGACCTTCCGACATGTTTTGAGATAATGATTTATGAGTTAGGTTGGATACACTATCTTGTAAAATATTTCATCGCTTATTAGAAGAAGAAAAATAGTGGATATATGTTGTACTATTCCAAAAATTTATATAGCTTTTGTACAAGAATTAACCATGTCACATAATACCAATTCACATAATACCAATCTAATTATAATAATTTGTATAAAAAAATTATATATTAATATAAAAATTGGGGCCCCCAAAATTTTGGGACCTAAAGCATTTGCTTTAGCTGCTTTAGGCTTCAGCCGTCCCTGCCGTCGGCTGTCAGGTAATTACACATAACTTTTCAAACATACCCTAAATTATATTAATTTATTATTATTATTATTATTATTGTGATAATTGTATATTAATTAACGTGGCAAGGAGTTAAAGAGAAAGCTAATTGCTTAAAGAGAGCCAGATCTTGTTAGGCAAGAAAAGCATAGTCAAGGTTCCAAAGTCGATCTCTTTCTGTGCTTCCTTAAATCCTTGTCTGGCAAACCACTGCCATTTGGGGTGGCAAACTGACATTTTTTTCTTTGGTTGTTCATAATCCAACACTTTGAATGGACCACCGAGAGAGGCAGTGGATAGTTGAAAATAGTTAAAATTTTGAGTTCAGAGCCTCTAAGAATATTAAATAATTTATTGATAGTGAACATTTTACCCCTTAATGATTCTACCTATCGCGAATTCAAATTAGTCACACTAATAAATATCGTATATAAATTTTTTTGAATAGAGACTTTCCAATTATGTCAACTTCACATTCTCTTTATAGCCCTATGCAGATTTTTGCCCATAGTAAGCGTGAACAATAATGTGAGACAAAGCAAAAACACACTGCATTGGTCGTACTATTATTGTCTTTGCCTTGTGAAATGGGACCTAACAAAATCCTGTCATATACCTCATTGCCTTGCCAACTTGCAATGCCTTTAATACAAACTTTTGTTTGGCTAATTGTAGTTTAATTATCACCATCATTAAGCAATTATGATGTGAACTTTTTCTAAACAAAGGAGATATCTATTTTTTATCGCGTCATCACAAGACGTGAACCATACAAATAAGTAGAACTTCTAGTTTACCAATGACAAATTTCTGTTGATGAAGTTTTCATTTTAGGATAATGTTATTTTTGTGTGTGATTAAATTATCATTTTTTCTATTCGCTGCTACTGTTTTGATCTTGTCGATGTTCCGTAAAGTCCTTGAGAAGGTTGGAATCAAGTCTACTTTGCAAAATAAGTTCTTGCTTATCACCATTATTATTTTTGCTTATCCCCTTTGACTTTGCGAAAGTCTTAGTTCATGTTCAACGTCTGCTTAACTAGCTCAAAAAGAAGCAATTAGAGTATATATATATAAGAGTTGGTGATTTACTTCTAATAAAGTCAACGATAGATAATATTATGAATTAATTGTCCGTCCAAAGCATGCAAAGCTTGCCTTATAATTATAAATTTGTGTTATCGTATTTTCATAGCATCTTCATATGTAAGAGTAAGACAGTAAATGAATAATGCAAATAATTTGCAGCTTTGAATCCACACTTTGATAAAGCTTTTTCATCAATTCTCTCTTTCTTTTCCTCTTTATTCTCCATTCTTCACACAAACTAATCAAGTCTTTTAACCAAAAAAGTGAATCGTGATTATGAAGCAGAAGTCTTTTGTTTGGGACAGGGACATAAGGTCACATTCAAGCCAACAAAGCCACATATATCTAAATTAAATGAGTTCATTTACTCCCTCCGTTCACTTTTACTTGACAGATATACTAAAAATATATTTTCATTTTTACTTGTCACTTTACGCATATCAAGAGAAAATAAATTTTTTTCCTATTATACCCACAATATTTATTACTCATTTCAAATCATTTTCTCAAATCCAATAAAATATGCATCAATTAATATGGATATCATGGTAAATTATGCACTTTATTTATTATTTCTTAAATGGCGTGAAAAGTCAAAACGTGCCAAGTAAAAGTGAACAGAAGAAGTACTATGCAGTGACACTGTAAAAATTTATTTGCACAATCAGTATGAGGTAATTAAAGGTAAATCTTTATGATAAATATTAATTGGTAACTTGAGTACTAGAAATTATAACTAATCTGCTATCACAAGTTAAACTACACTTGAAGTATCAAAAATTCACTCTCTTAATGTATATAACTTAAATTATATATTGGTAAGTAAAAAGATATGCATATAGGTTAAGTTGGGGGAGACATGCATGAAAAGAAATTGTCGAGCTTAGACTTTGTTCAGACGTTAAGAATGTTCGTAAGCAAAAAAAAAAAAAATGAACTTGGAAAAGTGGTTTGATGAAAAGCCGTTGAGCTATGATCTCAAAGTAGCAAAGAATTAAAAATTATTATAATCTCTCAAATCTCAATCCCAGTCTTTCCCCATTTCCCAAGGTTTCTTTGATCATTTTTATCTTATACACTTCGTTTCTTTTCTGCCTTTTCTTTTAGTTTTGTAAAGAATGCTTGTTCTTAAAAGAAGATACCAGGCGCCATATATCTCTTTTATAGATTTCTTTGTTAAGTTTAGTTTTACACACTCATAGCATAAAGTTCTTATATTATCACTTAACTTAAAAGGTTATTGTAAATAATTTTATTTCATATGCATTTTTCGGTAACTTATAATAAATAGTAAGTAACAAGTTACAACATGTTAAATTGCAGTGATGATGTAAAATATTTTTAGATTGTCAGTGTATAATACTTAAACTCGTTGTTTATTTCTAGTCAAGAGCAATTGAATTTACTAAAGTTTTATTTACTTTTAATTTTCATTTAGCCTTTAAGTTTTTTTGGAGTCTCATGTCCTTAGTCTGGGGTTAAGCTAGCAAAGTCAACCAATGGGCTTATTCTGCACAATAGATGGACACTATCCACTCAAAATGAGCTAGGCCCAGCCCAATTGTGTGTGGTGTAAAGTGTATTTAATTATTTCTTAGTTGTTAAGGGATCAATTAATCTAGCTTTGCTGTGGCATATTTTAGGTTAGTGTTCATATTAGTTTGCTGAGATAAATTTTGATCATTATTCTACTACTTTGTTTTTCTGTGTTTTCATGTTGAGAGTCATGAAAAAAGCAAAAGTTAGGGGTCAGAATGTTTTCTAGGAATTCATGTGAAGTAGTTGTGTTTAGTGTCTGCATATGAGTTAAATATG